ATAAATGTGAATTATTTAATAGTATATGTATATATATATATATTATAACTAATAGTATAAGTATATATATGTGAATTATTTAATAGTATATGTATATATATATTATATATATGTGAATTATCTAAAACTATTTGTTAGATTGGTGGCGCGGCCGTGTCGTTGAAATTGACGAAACCTGGATGAAGAAAAAAACGAAGTACAACCGCGGCACCCGCCACGAAGACTACTGGCTTTTTGGCGGGGTAGACCGAACCACGAAGCAGTGGTTTGGTGTCGTGACGTTCGGCGATCGGACCAAGCCGACCCTGATGGCGCTGATCAAAAAGCACATTCGTCCTGGGACCCACATCATCACCGACAAGTTCGGATCGGACGTTTCAACCAACCAGCAGCACACATTGGCTAACAACGACTTGCTCGCCGGAATGCGTTACACCAACTCGTGGGTTAACCATTCCGAAAACTTCGTGAACCCAAGAAATGGCGCCCACACCCAGCAAATTGAAGGCGTTTGGGAGGTGCGTAAAAAGCAGTACATTAAGGCTATGCGTGGTGTTCGCAAATAGCGCATTCCTGCGTTTTTAGACGAATACCTCTGGCGCAGTTGGTATTTTGAGTCTGGAGCGAAAGGAAAGAAGTACTTCAAAGGACTTGTCCTAGGAATTCGACATAAATATGGTCAATAAACTTAAAGTATTTTTGTCAATATTGCCCAAAATACAAATATATTTTAAACACACCCAGCACATTTAAAATGTCCACAGGGCATCATCTACACTTGTACCGACTGCGTTCTGTGCTTCGTACATTAGGAGGTAATTTCTTTGAATATACTTTGATCTAACTTCGTCATGGCGTGTACTGCATATAGATACAAAACCCAACATAATGTCATCGCAATGCACCATGAGCAATGCCAAAGCACCAAACATGTAATTATATTTCAAATCTATTTACTGTTTAATTGAGATGATCCTGTCAAACGCCTGTAGAATGTGAGGTAGCTCTTCTCATCCATACGACGTGCCGCCCAATCCTCGTTTGTCATCGGCCCATCGCAAGCGGCGGACAGTGCCTTGTAGCACGATCGAAGATGGCACATTGTCGAGTTTCGAAATGATATATTCCGACTTGTTCGATTGCGATGCAAGTATATTTCATGATGCGCTTCGCCTTGAGGTAGTTGGGGACATCACTTTGTACTGCCAGGTCTCGCGAATTGACAAATCGCAACGGGGGAATGCTGTCGGAGGGAATCCCTTACCACCATAACATCCACAAATCGGACATTTTACACTTCGGAAACCGAAACAACACCGGAAAGCCGGGGTTGAGCACAACTGCGTTGGTGGCTTGCGGGGTTTCGGGGTTTCTGTTGTGTGTTGTTGTATACCACGAACAATAGATTCGCACAGCTCAGCGAGGTCCTTAGTGCAAAGGTAATTGGGCCATGCCACACATACCACCGTGGGACTAAACCACGACGAACAATAGCTGGTAGCTGGTCCATTATATCTTGCAGGTTGACCCCCTCTGTTTTGATTTGTTTTCAAGCGCGTGCATTCGCTGAAAGAGCGCCACGTGCCGGAGGATCCCAGTGGCTAGCATATTCGATGTGGGATTTTGCATGACCCCTCCCAAAACTTTGACCGATAGCCCATCGAGTAGTCCAGACGACCATAACGCTGACATAAATAGTGGGTGCGGGTGGAGGTTGTCGCGTATCCACATTCAGCGATGCGATAAGGAGGCTAACAGGTATGGCATTGTGGTGCGAAATGTTGGTGGATATTGACGGCTATGGAAGTGTAGGGGCAGGGATGCGAACCCTGCGTCGTTAATTTACAGTATCATTTATATATTACTGGTAATATTTACATGTAAATATTTGCACTGGTCCCAGATTCCGACCCGCTCCAAACCACTCTGACACTGCTTGGGGACCCCCAGGGGTGTTAGTCAACGCTGTTGCGACGCCTTTTCCAATCATCAACACATTGAGCCCCATCGCCAAAATGGTATCGTGTGAGGCAGAACACGTAAACACGTCGTACTCAGCCATTTGGAAAAATTGGTCCTTGGCGTTTGGTCCAAAGAGCATCACCGGACCAGTGTCTCGACGCATACCCCGAGTAAAACTCATAATTGCCAGACTATACAGTACATTATATTTCTCATGCAAGAGAAATTTTCAACTATTATTAATTGATATTATATAACTTGCTTAATAATGAAATTAATTACTACATAGTAAACTAGTAACATACCTTCAATCGTTAGAGGGGCCTTTCCTTCTGCGATATGATGATCTTCAACGACGCAATTTGGCGCATATACAGTACCCATTTCCAAAGTCTACTAGCACAGTTAAACACGACTGAATTCTCTGTAAGTACCATGAATCATGGCGAGCACCTCGTCCTCAGGACTTCGCCCTTGCTCTTTATACAAGTGCTTTACAGCATTTGAAAACCCGTTGATTGTTGAGTACGAGTTGAGCCTGCGAGGTACCACTTCGACGCCTTTGGAGTCGCGTTTGCCTGAAATGTATGCCATGAAGGTCTGATACACTTCTTTTGTCATAGGCAGGATGGTCCTCCCTTTGTCCACGAACTCAGGTGCGTTTTAAAGGAGCCACCTTGCATACCACTCAAGGATGGTGCTGTACTGCGGTCGGGTGGAGGGTACAATGCGTATCGCTATGATGTCATCGCCAGCGCCGGGGTCGTTTGGTGATGACAGGTCTATCTGTTGCGTATAGTGCCTGGTCGGGAGGGTACTGTGTGTTGTGAAACGAATAGAATCTTCCGGATAAACAATTTGCGCAAAAGCAACATATCTAACTGTTTACCATTATTTGGCATGTCGCGAAACAATTGCGAAACACCCTCACAATTTATACACGTGTCTAAAATTGTTTTTGTGAGGCTGTCCTTTGCCATTTCCAGCAGCGACTTGGTCTGGTCTACCGGACGCGTGTGAACGTGGAGGTAACCACGTCGTAGTAGCACACAAAGAGTGCCTTCATGGGGTAGTTTGTCATGATGTATGTACTCTTCGTGACAGGTATGGGTGGGTTGCTCATGCGTGACTAGGTCAGAGTCGTGGTCCCCTTTTGCGTCCAAGATGCCCGAGTGAAGGTGCACTGTGTGTCGTCCTGAGCTACTGTACATATGAATCTGTAAATCCTTGCTGTTGACGTGTTTATTCGCAGTCTCCTCTGTGTAGGGGTAGAGTTTTTGGGCGATCAAGTTGTTGTTGTTCGCAGTTTCCTCTGCGTTAGGGTGAAGATTTCGGGCGATCACGGCGATGATTTCGATGTTCGCAGTCTCTCTGCGTT